AGCGTTGCGCCAAACGTGTGACATCTTACGACAGCATCAGGTTGTCAAACGAACAAAAGTAAACGCGGCAATTGCATCTTGGAAGGCAATTCACACCAAAAATGTTGTCACGACGCGTCACCGGAGGTTACACCCAGCATCTTCAGGCAACCATCAGGACAGGACTCAGGAAGTGAGCGCATCCCGAATTGGCAGCAGATCACACTGGTTGCATGATCATCCTCGCAACAAGGAATTTGCGTCCGAAGAGCTTTGTGTCTGGGTAAAGACGACTGCGTTAAGAGATATTGCATTCGTCTCCACGGTGTCTCGTCCAGGCACCCAACAAAGTGCATAACTTACAGACCTCTCTACGCTTATTGAGATATTTTGGGGTTTTCCATTTTACGAATGCGTGTTTTTACGATATCAAATTGTATTTGCATGACAACGTATACGACTGGAACACAATTGGCTTTCGAGCAGTGCATGAATGCAGTTGCGTCTCAAGATGCCCAAGAGGTTCCAAGCCGGTGATGTACAATGAACATTGAATAATCATTGTGGGCGAAACCAGAATAACAACTTGCGCAACAAATGCAAAATCTGACTGGGGGGTGGGGGGGGTCACCGTCCTGACGCCGAGCAACACCAAGCGGAGCCCTTAGAGCACCCTGCTGTGGTTTCATCGGCTCATGCTCGCATGCACCACCGAGCCCCATCGCTAGCGCGCGCACTGCCTCGCTCCATCAGTTGCCGCGGGATGAGTGCCGCAATCGGCCGCCATGTTCAGCATAGGTCAAGCCACAGCAAAAATACGTGACCTCCAAGCAAGAGGCACATCGCCAGCAACTAAGCGGGTACAGCACAAACCCTTTGACATCCCTGTCCAACCACACCAAAAGGTTACACATTCCTTCAGACACACGAGGAGCCTTCCCCTTCTGGGAGCGCGACATTCCAGCGGCATCGGTTCGACGCGACCGAACTCAGGGCCGGTTTCAGCGGAGTCGGGCCTTGCGAGTTCACAAAGGTGGGAGTGCGATTTAGCAGGCGCCGTCACGTGTACCGATCTGGAGCCCCCCTCACCCCCCCCCCCCCCCCCACCGGCCAACACGCTCTTGGCACACAATGTGGGCCATTGTTACGCGTTCAGCTGGCCTCAATGGGCACGAATAAAAGAGTGCAGGCCAGCCAATCCGAGGCCTCTCATCCCTGAATGCCGACACATCGCCCACTTTGAAGCTCCTGCTCGGGGCCGCTGACAGCACCGGCGGTGAAAAACTCAAATCTGCATAAATCGCTTTTTTTACTGTAATGGGGCAATGGCGGTAGAGTTTTCAGGCAAGTTTTTATTTGCCTTACTCCGCACTGTGGAACAGACGTGGAGCTGCTGCCTCTGCCACCGCGGCTCTGCCACCGCGGCTCTGCCACCGCGGCTCTGCCACCGCGGCTCTGCCACCGCGGCTCTGCCACCGCGGCTCTGCCACCGCGGCTCTGCCACCGCGGCTCTGCCACCGCGGCTCTGCCACCGCGGCTCTGCCACCGCGGCTCTGCCACCGCGGCTCTGCCACCGCGGCTCTGCCACCGCGGCTCTGCCACCGCGGCTCTGCCAACGCGGCTCTGCCAACGCGGCTCTGCCAACGCGGCTCTGCCAACGCGGCTCTGCCAACGCGGCTCTGCCACCGCGGCTCTGCCACCGCGGCTCTGCCACCGCGGCTCTGCCACCGCGGCTCTGCCACCGCGGCTCTGCCACCGCGGCTCTGCCACCGCGGCTCTGCCACGCGGCTCTGCCACGCGGCTCTGCCAACGCGGCTCTGCCACCGCGGCTCTGCCAACGCGGCTCTGCCAACGCGGCTCTGCCAACGCGGCTCTGCCAACGCGGCTCTGCCACCGCGGCTCTGCCAACGCGGCTCTGCCACCGCGGCTCTGCCAACGCGGCTCTGCCAACGCGGCTCTGCCAACGCGTGCGGTGCAACCAAGCGAGAGGCGGATCCAGCGCCAACTCCACGGAAAGCTGCGCGATGGAACCGTTTATCCGATACTGCTCACAGAATCGCACCTGATCAACAGGAACGCTTCAGCGTACATTATTCGGTTATTTACATTGGCCTCAAAGGTGTTTTGTTAGGGTGCTTTTGATCACTAGTTCACTGTTAAATCCCACGTGATTAATGGTGACTTGCTGCTGGTCATCGTAAGTCCCCTTGCAAATGATTTTTCACACGAGTGCAGTGCTTCCCAAACCGCGGCTCTCTGAACTCAATGCAGTCTAGAGTTCCAGTTTTGCCACTTATCATGCGTATGCACTGAATAACAGCATCATTTGCATCTGAATGGGCGAGACTGACGGATAAAAAAAGCCCGCGTCTCAGCACAAGGAGTGGAATTTGAGAGAGCCTGGAATAGGCTGCATGTGGTCCATTACGCCCCCCTTGAAATCAAGAGCAGTACAAGCAGCAGCAGCGGGCACAAGCAGCGCCAGCTGCATACTTACCAACTGCACCTTCAACTATACCTGGGCCTCACCGCAGGCTGCTTGCGGACTACATCACAGGCTGAGAAAGAACCATAAAGGAGCCACGCAGGAGCCACTCGCAGGCTAGGCAGGAGTAGGCCATTGTGTACCAGCGTCAGGGTCCAAATTTGGCAATTTAGAAAACTTACTGGCAAAATAACTCAAACATTGAATACACAGCGATCAGCTGTGTATTCAGACAAACAAATTAGAATCAAACGGAATAATCCTCATAACAGAACAATGGCAAGGAAATTTTGGACAAATTTCATGAATACGGACCAATGGTGGCAGCGCTCAAAAAGAGTTTGGGGTGGACACCAAATAGTCAACTGCTTTTTTTGTGTTTGGTTTGTTGTCCTTCCCCGCACCTCTGATTAGTACGATTGGCTACGTACAGTGCGAAAGCAGTTCAACATACGTACGTGCATAATCATCTTGCATGTGCTCGTGTATCTGTGTGTGTCTCATCCACCGCCGGTGAACGCTCAGACATTCCATCGTCGTGCCAAGCAGCTGAATTGTTTCTAATCATGAGGGGTGACAAGGCGAACAGACTTGGCACACGAGACTCGCACTCCAGAGGTCGCCATTCTAAACGCTTTAGTTCCATTTAATCACGAAGTTACCACCTGGGGACAGATCATGTGTATGGAGGGATGATTTGTACACCACAGGTAGATATCAAGCATACATCCACACGAAGGCAGGTGGTGGGAGCTAGCAGTAGACTTCCTCGTGTAAAACTGTCTCTCTCTCTCACAGAGCTCCGTGTAAAACAGCCTCGCTCTCTCTCACAGAGCTCCGTGTAAAACAATCCCCCTCTCTCTCTCTCTCACAGAGCTTCGTGTAAAACAGTTCACTCACAAAGATCCGTGTAAAATAGCCTCTCTGACAGAGCTCGTTGTCTCCACACCGACTGAGGCAAGGCAAGAGGTCCACTGGTCTCGATAGCCGTGTGGGCCTCTCCGGCCTGACGCTGAGCTACCCTGTGGCTGTGGGCAGCGCCGTGTCTCCTCTACCCAGCTGAGCGTGTCGGTGCTGACCTTCCTCCCTGGGGTTCTGTGAGTAACAAACGAGAAAACCACGCTCACGCCAGGGCCCTGCGATCCGCCCACAAAACGCGAAAGTTGGCTGCCACCCAATATGACCCCGTCACTAGGGTAACTGTTGAGCGGGGCCGCAGGAGCGGTCGGCGAGAGCGGAGGAAGTGAACGTGAGGGCAGGGGAGCCGGAGGGAGACGCACCGGCGATCAGCCCTGGCGCAACGCATTATCGCCATCGAGCACCCTCCTTACGCCGGGGGTGTCTCTGAACCATTTATATGGCATCTCATCATGTCATCACTACACACTTCACACACGGGGCACCCCCATGGCAGCTGTCCCTAGGAGGCGACGATTACTGTTGTACGTGTGATATCAATTGAGTAATTTTCAGTAGAAGGACCCAAATTTTGACCCCGACGCCAGCGCACATTGGCCCTCCCATTGCCGCCAAGGGAGCTTCAACAGCCACTGTAAAATGAAGCAAGTGGCACGTAGCATTTTTATGGTTATTTCACGGGCATTATTATAGCGCTGCTACCCCTGCGGCGATCCCAAACATTGGTGGCCGATCAGCAGATCACATGTGGTGGGGTGAAGTGCGGCTGGCGTGGAAGTGAAAGCCAAATATCCACTAGAGGGACTCTCTGGGGCTCTCTCGAGTGGAGGTCCTTCAGCCAGCAGTGGCATGAGCAGGCAGTTGCAGGGCTGTGCCTCGACCCGTCCTCTACACCTCGGCCCGTCAAGCGCAACACGACAGGAACCGACCCGACCGCTTGTTTAAAGTTCAAGAGGTGCCTACCATCCAACACTCCTAAGAGGGCGGTAGCCATGACGCCATGGTAACCCCCTCGCACCTCAAAGCAAGAAGCACCTCGGTTCGATTCCCGACTCAGGCGACTTTCTGCGCGGATTCTGTGTGTTCTCCCTCCCCCTGTTCTACATGGGTTTCCTCCGGGTTCCCCCGTTTTTCTCCCTTAGCTTAAAAAAATTAAACTACACAACGGAACTCACACCGGCCAAATCAAACCAATGCTTAAAAAATGTACCTGAAAATTACTCAATTGGGATCACACTGAGCAGCAACATCACCCTCCTACTGTGAAAACGTCAGAGGACCCTCCTGAAAAAGTATTTCCTGGATAATGATGACAACGACTTCGGCGCGTCACACACACAGCCACGACTCTCGGAGAAACACGGGAGGGAGAGTGAACCACTGCGTCGACGGGCTCTGGTGGCCAAAGCACAACCACAAAGCACAAAACAAGCCTTGGCGGCGTCGCAGAGAACACGACGGACAAAAACACGACGGACAAAAACATGCCTTCCATTGTGTGTGTGCAAAGTGTCAGACGTGGCGAGGCGGCGACCTCTGCATATTTAGTTTGTTGCCAAAATTCTTGATGCCGATGATGATGATCATGATAACGATAATGTTGAGGCGTCCCACTTACTTGCAGATGCCCGTGCCGTTGGAAAATGTCTCGCACGTGCCGCCGTTGATGCACGGTTGGTTAGAGTCCTGGCACTGCAGCCCTGCAAACAGAAGAAAAAGTGTCAGCCTCGCACAATGCCATAAAAACATGGGCGGCACGGCAACCCGTACGGAACGTGGCAGATCAATCTCCGTCCATTTCCATGTGTACGGGGGATCGAGTGTTACTCCCTCGCATGCACGGGTTATCTCCAGGAACTCTGGTTTTCTCCCACCTGTATAAATACTCATTAAATGGAGCTGGAAAAACATCGCAAAATAGGACTCTGGAGCTTGGGCAATTGTTGGTGCAGGTTTTGGCCCCCTCCCCAAACACCTGTCTGTGGCTTTCCGCAGCAGTGTGCCGTCACGCGCTTTTGTATTTACTTTGTTCATTTTAACAATGGAAAGCAGCCAATGCAGACGGGTCTTGCAGGGGCAACAACGAAGAGAAGACTCATCAAAATAAGCAAGCACGTGTGGGAAACGCAGCGTCCACCATCAAGCGCACGTGCCTGGCCACTCGTCGCCGTCGCTGACGGAGGTGGTGGGGGGGGAATTTCTCTTTGGGATTTGTTCAGAACAAACACAAAAGATCGCACGACAATGTATTCCTCCGCCGCCCAGCGTTAAGAACCCACAACACCATCAACCAAAGACCACAAATAATTAGATGTCACGTCTGTAATAAAAGCTGTGGAACACAGTTGCACCATAGCAACTGCACCAAGTCTGCAGTTTGAAAATTGTAATGAGCCGAAAGGTTAATGTCATGATGTAATACACTCACGAAAGATAAATGTGATATTCATATAAAAGAGGTGGGGGGGAGTGAGCACAGCTTCTGGTCTATCTTCTTGGTTCTTTCGTCTTCAGACGGCTGCTTGCGTTGTAGCCGAAACGTCGTGAGAATTATTTTAATTTATTATGTTTTATTTTTATTATTTTATTACTTCCCTTCTACGTGACTTTACCGAAAGAACCAAGAAGATGGATCCCTGCAGTCACGAAAGCTTTAAATCGAAGCTTCTGGTCTATTTCTTAACTGTGCTCCAAGAGCGCTATCGGCAAGCATCGCGACACGAGATGAGGTGGCCATTGAGAAACTCTCGCAGACCAGCGCAAGGGTACAGCACACCAACAGCCCCAAGAAGCTGCCCCAGGGTCAGCGACGGTGATATAACTACGGTGGCAGGGGGGGCGGCAGTGCAACGTTGACGGCTCACGCCTCACTAAAAAAGTCTTCAGACTCAAAACTTTCATAGGTAAACGTTCACGTTAACATCTCACCACGATGGCGAGATGTTTACTCCCTCGCCTAGTATACAGGTGGTCGTGGGTATGATGCTGACTCAGGCAGCTGTATATTTGGGAGTTTGGATGTCGCTCTCGCCGTGTTAATGTGGATTAATGTGGATTTTTTTCCAGGTCCTCCAGTTTTTTCCCCTCCACATTTAGAAACATGCATTTCGAGTATTTGGCTGCTATAAATTTCCACAAGATAAGCCACTTCGTTGAGCTATCATTTGTGGCCAGGTCGCTTATGAAAAAGAGCTACGTAAATAAGTGGGCCTTACCTGGCAAATTATATCTGAGCTCCCTTCAAGTGACCGTTTTATCTACTCACGAGCGCACATACTTTCCTTAGAAACGTTCGTCGCATGGCAGTTTAGCACGATTCTCAAGAGCTGGAAATTTACCAAACTAAAGCGACAAAAGCGACTGGAACACGTTGGGAATTGAGTGCAGTCATTGGTGACAAGGCCAAAGCCACACTCCGAGAAGCTTGTTTTACCCGCAGGCGAACGAGACCCCGGTTTGAACCCCGCTTCTCAAGAGTGCCAACTCAGTACCCCAACCGCTGAACCAAGAAGGCCAGCTCAGAGGGAGTTTTGTGAATTCAGTTCACATGGGACTCTGCTGCATGACATCAATTTCCCCGCAGGTGAGTTAATCATATAAGTCATTAAAAGTCAGGCTTCACGTGGTAACAAACTTCACTTTACAGTGACTTACAATGTCTGGCTGCAAAATGAAAAAACTTTATTTCTCTTGAGTTGTATAATATTGTTTTTCATGTGATCTGCAAAACTTACATCCATATTTAAAGGCAGGTCATGATTGTACCACGCTATCAACACAATTAAACTTTCAAGGAATTAAACCCATTGTATGGCAGGCCTGAGAGTTGTTTATCCATGGTGCACTTCCCCCACAAGCCCTGTGAGATCTGTAAACAATGAGAAGACTCACCGACCCCTTGACCTCCAAAGACACCACCACCACCCACAAGGAACAACAGAACCCATGTGGTTCTCAATCACTAAGCCAGCAATCCGCCTCCTTCCTTCGCACACCTGTCCCTCCACTTTAAAAAAATAAAAAAAATGTTCACACATCTCATCAGCCACGCCACATTCTGGGAGTGAACATTTTCAGAAGCAATTGGTTCAATGCAAACCTTGGACTGGTTTTAAGATTCAGTGTCTCATCAGCAGAGCCAGGCTGTTCAAACCGCTGCTGGTGGTAGAGTCAGATTTTGATGAGCAGGAACCTTTTCCTGATAGATATGGGCCCGACTCAGCGAGGTTAACAGGCAGGAGCTAACGGCCTTTATTGCACGGATACACGGGGGAGTGGGGCTCACGTCAGCTGGGCTCCCTCGGCTCAGTTCTGGCACCATCGACTCTGCGCAGCAGTGCCAAGTGCTCCTAGCCTCTACATCACGGGCGCCAGGCAGTGGTTGGTGGCGACGGCGGCGGCGGCGGCGCAGTGGCGAAATTCGTGCCTTATAGCAAGAAGTGCCTGGGTTCGATTTCTGCCTCGGGTGTCTTCTCTGCGTGGAGTTTGTATGTTACCCTGTTATTCTGCTTGGGTTTCCTACCTTAGCTAAACACACGCAATGTAACTGGTATTGACCAAACATCTGACTGCTTAAAAATTACCTGCACATTTACTCTAATGGGATTACAGAGCAACATCATCACCGGCATACTGCAAAAAACATGGCAGGACCCTCCTTAAAAAAGGAGTTTTGAGACTGGGCACGGCTCATCCTAGGTAAACGAGCTTACACATGATGTAAACTGCAGCAGACAGCCACAGCTTTACAAGTGGGGTTGGTGGCGCACACAGAGATCAGCTGCTTTGCTGTTGCACACCCATAGCCAGCCGGCTGGCCTGCCCGGTGGCCTAGGGACAGCAGTACAGCAAATAGGTTTGTCACCCCATCCGCGCGGACTGCGGAGCGTTAACTCCTAGTGCGAGCGAACTTTGCCCAGGTTACCAACCCTCGGCTTCCTTGCCTCTGTAAACACCCCCCATTGCAAAGCAGTAATATAACAATAACGGAGTAAATGTTGTCTTCACGCCATTCTTACGGGCGCCAGGTTCCCACGACGGCGCTGGCTGGGTTCCCCAGTCTGCAGTCGTTGTCACAGTTAAGGGGTCGATGGTAAAACTAAAAAGTAAACCATAAAAACACTTTTTTTTATTTTACCAGGGAAGGTCCACTGAGCTACGTAGCTCTTTTTCAGAAGCGACCTGGCCATAAATGGCAGCCCAATGAAGTGGCTTATCATGTGGAAATTTATATCAGCTACATACTTTAAACACGTGTTTCTAAATGTGAAGGGGAAAACCGGAGGACCTGGAGAAAATGCCATGCGACCACGAGGAAAGAGACACGCAAACTCCAAATATACAGGCGTCAGGGTCGGGATTGAGCCCACGACCTCCTTCATACTAGGCGAGGTAGTTAACATCTCGCCACCGCGGCGCTATATGTAATCCTAATTGAATAATTTGCGGTTTAATTTTACTTATTTGGCAAGTTTATACCGCAATGGCCTACTCGCTTCGAATGACCTCAGGGGATCGGTAACATCTCCTGCGAAGCAGTCGGCGCGTAATAATAGGTAACACGCGGCAGTATTAATCAGGGCGGCCGCTGGGTTAGAACCACGAAATTCCATAACTGGCGAACGAATACGCTACCGCTGAGCCGTGCCACCACGCAACCAAACTCCTCTACCTTCGTCTCATCCACCTCCACCACCACCTTCACTCCACCTTTCAGCCCGCAGCGCATGACTCCAGTCCCAGGACTCCGACTCAGAGCGACTCGCCGCGACACACGTGTGAGTGTACTGCACACGTGGTATTATCTAACGTGTACACAAACACACGTTAGATATATACCACGAGCATGTGCAGCTGTAGGCCACACCACCCCCTCGTGTGCCGTGCCGACCTTCAGAGGTGCTGCTCGCGAGCATCACTTGCCCCAACAGAATGTTAAGAGGCTATACGGGGGCTTTGGCACGTGTGTACTGCACGTGTGTGCTGTATCTGTGTACTGCATGTGGGTGTGTGTTGGAGGCTCTCCCGTCCGTGCCCACGTATCGCCCCGTCTCTCCTCGTCGCCTTCTCCCCTTATCCATCCCCGCCTCGACTCGCCTCCCCCGTCTCTCCCTCCTCGTCGTGTCGCCATCCCTTGTTCCCACCTCTCTCCCTCCCGTCTCTCCTTGGCTCTCTCCCCGTCTCTCCTCTTGACTCTCCCTCCCCGCTTCTCCTCGGCTCTCCCAACCCTTCCTCGCCTCTCCGTCTCACATTCCTCGACTCTCGAGTTTTCTCCCACTCGTCTCTCCCGTCCCTCGTCGTCTCTCGCTTCCTTCAACTCGAATAGTTTCCTCTCCCCGCCTGTCCTCTCACAGTCTCTCCTCTCCCCGTCTCTCACCTCGGCTGAGCCGGGCGCCGAGCGCGAGTAGAAGTAGAAGAAGCGGCAGCAGCGCGCGGGGCTCCATGGCACCGCTCTCCTCCTCCTCCTGCTGCTCCTCCTGCTGCTGCCGCTCCTGCTCCTCCTGCTGCTCCTCCTGCTGCTGCCGCTCCTGCTGCTGCTGCCGCCGCTGCTCCTCTCGAGGCGACTGCCTCCGCGAGCTCTCCGCCCCCCCCCGTCTCGCCCACTCACCCCACGCCCCGCCCCCTCCACCGCCCATCCCCCTACCCCCGTACCCCGCCCTTCTATCCCCCGCCCCTCCTCGTGAGACATCAACTTCCCCTCCCCCTTCCTTCGACTGCCGTGCCCCGCCCCTCCCCTATGCCCCGCCCCTCTCGTGAGACTTGACTCCCCCTCCTCCTTCTCCACGCGCTGTATCCCTCCGCTACGTCACCGTTCTCCGCTCCCTCCAGCACAGTGGAGCGCTCCGCCAGCCGACAGGAAACGTAGTGCGCGACTGGCTCAATCAGCGCCGACAAAGCAGCAGAGTGGAGTAGAGTGGGGTGATCATAAACCACTCGGCGCAGTCGTCAACGTCTACGTGTGGCTTTAATGCCTGACGGTTCGGGCTAACGTGTTGTGAAGGAGTGCAATTGCCCGAAACGTTGCCTATTATACAGGGTCGCACAAAAGACCGGACTCATAGGGTTATATTTATTTTAAACAAATCACAAATAGTTATTTAATTTCTTTTTACAAATGTTAACGTTAATGCGTGCATAAATTAACTTTAGAAATTAATGTAAGGCTGTTTTAAGATGGCACGTAATCTGAACATTCATCAACTCTACTCTTAGGTTTTTTCGGTAAAGTCACGTAGTTAAAAAATAATATACATAAAATACTAATAAATAAAAATAAATCAATTAAATCACGACGTTTCGGAGGCAACACAAGTCTCCGTCTTCAAGTGGGACCGTCACAGCTAAATTTACTCTATCAAGTGAGGAAAAATCCAAGAGACAAGCTCTTAAATACAAGTTAAGGGGAAGGGTGGAGGGGCTTATCTGAATGTGGTAGTCAGGGAATGGAACGGTGGGGGGGGGGGGCGGGGCTAGCAGGGAGGGTGCAGTTGGTGCACCTCGCTCGGGGTTACGGCCGATGTTGGCTGCCTCCGAAACGTCGTGATTTAATTGATTTATTTTCATTTATTATTATTTTATTTCTATTATTTTCTACCTACGTGACTTTACCGAAAAAACCTAAGAGTATGAATCCTTGCAGTCACGAAAGTTTCAAAACTAGAATTTATCAACTCTGTTTAATCTCAATTAATGCAGGGGTCTTAGTTAAACGACAGATTTGAGGTGACCCCACAGGAAAACAATAATAAGAGACTAAAGATAAACTTAAGGGTATAAACAATTAAAATGTGTTCATGTCAGTGTTACAATACATTAAATAACCCTGTGTCCTGACTTTTGGGCCACCCTGTCTGTGTACGCTTCCCTTCAAGGACACACACAAGGCGTTGGCGAATCTGTGTTGGTTGTCTTTCTGTACGATACGAGTCGGCACGATATAATGACCAGGATATGTTTCGGTATCACACTTCACCATATCGCGATAATCGCGATATCAGGTCAACGTCGCTGAATGTTGACCTTGGATTCAGGAAAGAGATCAAAGTTAAGCCACTCAACAACTGCCACCGCGAGATCTTCAATCACACACGACCCACAAAATAGACCGGCAGACAATGTCCCCTTCACATGTAATCCGCCCTCCACGTGAAGTATTTTTTTACACATCCCATCAGCCGCACGGCCTCCTGCTGGGAGTTCAGCATTGTTTCAGTGCAACCAAAACCTTGGACGAGTTTTTCAACATTCAGTATCTCATCAGCGGTGATGCTTGCCTGCACTAATTCTGGGCTAACTGCAAGGAGCATCTCCGTAACTTTACATAATACACAACAGAATAATCATTATCGTTGTTATGGAGAATGTTTGTTATTTATATGGCGATAATATATTTTTCTATTCCTCACAACGACGCTAATGATTGAGTTGAGTCTCGCTCACTGCGATGCGTGATGTGCGTGGTTAGCATGCTGCGCTACTAACCCGGCTACCCGAGTTCGATTCTGGCTCACGGCCAACACCAGTGACGATTGTCTGAAACGGTCTTGGGCCTCTCCTAGGTCGACTCAGCCTCAAATGAATATCAGGCGTTATGTACCTCGCAGCTGTTCTCACGGCGTTGCACGGACGCGGAGAGAGGCGGAGGGACGGAGATAGGTGAGAACCTTGCCTATCACTGTCTCAGTGGGACCGTGGGAATGGCCCTTGTAGGTCCACCCCAACCAACAGGTTCGCCCAGGTGACGCGGAACGGCCTCAGGGGCACCTGATACCGTGCCGGCTTCTGCGCGACAGCCTTGTACCCAGGCGGCCAGTTTGGGCCAAAGATATTGGCGACGCAGGGTCTCCCGAGTACGCCGTTCCCCATCATGGACCTCGAACGGGTGGTCATGCACCGAACATAGCAGCTGGGGTCGCACCTGGGTGGGAACACAGATGCACCCCGGCTGTCCGGCTTCGGTTAGTTCCCGCACCACCCCATCTTTCACACACAACCGGAGGTACAAACCATTCCAGGGTTCCTGTACGGCGACCTCCTCCCGCAGGGCCGCCTCCACCGCCACCAGATCCGGGTCCCGCTGTTGGGCCTGTCGCAGCTGTTCATTGTCCAGGCCAGGGAACGCACAGCCGATGTCCTCTTGGATCCAATCGGGCGGGGCAGAGTGTCCCTTCGGGCCCCTGGGTGTGGGCTCTGTGCCCGCCGGGTGGCCCCCCGGGCCCCCGGCTCATTCCGCAGGGACCTTTGTGGCACACATGGCACTCTCTCTCAACTGAGGGGGGTTAGTCTCAGAGAATTCCAGGGGGGGGGGTGCTGCCTATTGGCAGCGGTCCCCCCATGAAGCATGGGCATGCCTCCTCAGCCCGTGTCTTGGAGCACACCGCAGGTCGCCTTGAAAATGCGTCCGCGTTTGCGTGCGTCCGTCCGGCCCTGTACTCAATTTGCAGGTCAGGAGGCCGCAGTGCGTGTGGATCCAGGTCGGTCGCAGGCGTTGGTATGTGCACCCGTCAAGGTGGGAAACCCTATTTCCCACTTGCGAGGTCGTTTCATCCCCACTACCTGAAGGCCAGGTGTCTGATGTGTCCGCTGAGCCCGGGACATACGGTCACGGAGATTGCGTCTCAGTAAGACTTTATTCTTCGACCTCCAGGATACCAGCGCCTGACACCCGTGGAACCACCAGCGACGCCGTCCACAGGCGGGCCAGGGAGGACGGAACGACCGCCACCCGCTTCTTCTCCCCCTACATCTTTTTCCCGGGAGGGGCCGCGCCCATTAGGCCAGTTACAAGACGTCCCCGGGGTTCCTAGGAAACCCATTCTTGCCCCGCTTTGGGGCCTGGCGATGAGGACTCGTTCCAAAACTTTTCGGTTCAAATAACCCGCCCCTTCCCGTTGTCCTATTTATTCCAACACCGTCTGGCGGGTAGTCGCAAACACAAGCCGGGCTGTGGCTATCAGTTGAACTGAGGTCCTTCCTGTGCTCGTGGGCTGAGGCATGCTGAAGGTCGTTGGGTGTTGTATATTCTTGGGGGCCGGGTTTATTGCTGTGCGTTCGCGATTTTTTTTATTGTTCCAGTTATTTATTGTTCTCGTTAATTCAACTCGCAGAATGGGATGACGGTTATTATTGTTGTGTTTGTTGTCCTGCTACGCGAGGTATGGAGGTCAGAGGGGATGGCTGTTTTTTTTCACAGGGGGGGGGTGATGTACTGACATTGAATGTGTCACTGTGGTGCATAGCGCTGGTTGCTGGCACAGAAGGGGATCGAGGGTGTAGTAGCCCTGTCTGCCTGCAGGATGTGATGAGCCAGAGGGAGGGATGTGAGGCAATGGGGATAGAGGGAGTATGTGTGGTAAAGCCCAGGAACCTTTTGATGGTTCGAGAAGGGGGCATGGCTGAAGGCGGAGCGAGGTCACGCTGGGTGTATAAAGGAAAGACCCCGAGTGCGGGTTCGGGGCTGTTGTTGGTGTGGAACCGTCATGCGGCGTGAGTCTTCGTCACCGTCTTCACCTTCCCGGCGTTGTAAGTCAGGCAGCTTGTTAGCTATCCTGACCTTAATGTAGTTAACCCTTGTGCCTGTGAAGGCTGAAATAAATAAAGTGCCTCCTACGATTATTGTCTCCGAGTGACTCACTCTACCTCTACTAATATGCATTTAACTTTTGGTATCTCTAGCCAGTCTATTTTCGGGTAAAACAAATAATGTAGGTTCTTTCCAGGGGCTTTAGTGATGGCGTCCCCTAGTCTGTAAATACCTGAAGAAATGTGACTGGGGGATGTTGTATCTTGCTTGCAACTGATCGAAGGGCAACACGTTGCCTTCCTTCTACAAGAGGTCACCAACTATCTCCAGCGAATCCTCCTTATCTCTTTGCCCTCCATTTTCAACGAGGTGTTGCCCCAAAGTGAGGATCTTTGATGAAATGGCGCTGGATGGGGGGATGCGTCTATCCCTACATATCCCCAGCATCGAGGAAACTGTCCACACCTGACTTAATGCCCCAGGGTCTATCTTTGACCGAGGAGAAAAAAAGCCGAGCAAGGGACCACGAGCTCACAGATTTCACCCCCACCGTTTACCGATCCCTCACTTTGTAGGGTCAAACCAGCTTTTCATGTTCTGGAGGGCGACTGCCTTATGACATTTAAGTAGATCTGGGACAGCCAAGCCTCCTTCCTTCACAGGGCGAGTAACGGAGTGATTATCTACCCGTGTGAGTTTATAGTTCCTGATAAAAGACGATACTTGGGAGTGAAGTCATTTAGAAAAAGGGCCTTGGGATCTGGGAGGGGGCCATTTGTAAATAGTATAAACGTTTAGGGAGGACCATCATCTTAATAAAATGTTATGGAGGCATAGGGGGACATCTGCCCATGCCACTAGTAAAGATGTAATTTCCTGGAGCAGGGGAGGAAAGTTCTTCTGGAAAAGCGATGCTAAGGAAGAAGGGATTGTCACATCCATGTTTTATATGGGTTGGGCATACAGGGGATAGGGGCATCAGTTCCGACTTAGAAACATTCAACTTGTATCCCGATGCTCCACCGTATTCC